AGGAGGGCAGGCAGTGGAGACTGGAGCAGGTTTGGCCCATGAGGAGGCTGTCAGCAGCATCCTGCTCTGGGCTGCTGTGGGAGCTGTCGGCACCGACACAGCCTGGTTGTGCCCACAGGCTCCTGGGGCTGCTGCTCCGTCCCTCCTCCCTGACTGCAGCAGGAGCTGGCTCCTTGCAGCCCAGGGACCTGTGCTGAGTGTGTCTGTAGGTGACAGTCTGGCCCAGCTGCACAAGAGCTGGGCACACGGGCCTCCTGCTGAGATCTTCCATGCCAGTCCTGGGAATGCTTCTGTACCCAAACTGTATGGAAAGCCTTGCTAATTTTTTTAGTATTATTTAAAAACGTGCATACTATCGATGTGATTTTAAAAGACTGTTTACACAAAGTATTTTGTATCTTAAGATGTGTGTACTGTAAAAAAAAAAGAAAAAAAAAAAAAAGATGAAAAATGATGGTTTTTCTACAACTATCAGCAGTGACTGCATGTCTGTATCATTGTCCATCAACCGTTGTTCCTCAGGGGTCTCCCCGCCATTCCTGTGATCCTGTCGAAATATAGGGAAGCAAGTGAATCCCTGTACAGTCTTGGGGAAAAGGTTTTGTGCCTTAAGAATGGGACCTGCTTCCCCCCTATTTATTGTGTTAATTTATACAGTGATTACCATGGAAATGTCTCTTTGTTTTGTTTTTTTGTACATAGTTTACTGTTGATTGTGTAAATGAGTTTTTCTTGTATATAAGGTAAACATGTTTCTGAGCTTCCAGTAAAGATTCTCTGTTACTGATTCCATTGTGTGAGAGGGCTGCAGTGCCCATGTGGTAGAAACCAGCTAATAAAAATCTGTGCTGTGAGAAAATGGTTTTATCCTGAGTTGCATCAGAATTTCAGAGCTGTTCCTTAGAGGAGTGGAATGGTAAAATGTGGTTGTTGTCAGTTAGTTTTGTAGCATTTCTTTGCGTTGGTTTTATTGACATGGAGTAGAAGATACCATGTTCTTCATTTTTATTAGGGTGTATCTCTGGAGTGAAGAAAATAAGAGGTGTTCTAAACATGGTGGTTCTACTGCTGTTCATCCTGATCACAGCTCCACTGTTCGCAAATCCGCACCAAGGTGGGAAGGCACTGAGAAACTCAGCAGGGTGTGTCAGTCACCTTCAGGTGCTTATAGAGCTCTCATCAGGTGGTGTGGTGTGACCACCTCTTCCTGGTCATGGTTGTGCAGTGCCATGAGGAGAGGGGAACAGTTGTTACTCTACTCTGCTTGGGCCTCTATGCATGCATGTATGCATATGCATGCATATGTCTTGCAGACAAATACAGTAATGGGACTAAGTGAAAGTGCATTTACAAAAACATGGGAGAAATTAATTTTCTCACAAAATGTAGAACTGGACTGATATAAAATAAACTGGAAACTAAAAGATGTGGAGATGTTTGGATGTGCAGTCCATAGATCAGACTGCAATGAGCTTTCTCTTTCTTCTCTACATGTTGATGAGTTCATAAGATGCTGACAAACTTTTGGCAGGTTAGTTTAAACTGAGAGGATGGTTACAGAGCTAAACAATACTGTTGCAGAGTGGAAATAACTTAGGATGGTGGTGAAGATTTTCTGTGTGAAAGACCTTTGTGCTTGGTAGTTAAACTGAAGGATTTACTTTGCATGGAGGGAATAGTGTATGTGACAGGAACATAAGAAGCTGTAGTAATGTTATATACTGTTGCAAGATGAACATGGTAAAATCAGTCATGAAAATGTTGGTTACTTAGTCCAAGTAATAAGGAGAAGAGAATTGCCTTTTCTCACACATGCACTGGCACCAAGTGCCAGGCTCTGCATTAAGTAGTCCTACAAGAAACATGCAGAGAAAAAACAGTAGCAGAGAGACAGGATGTGCTTGCTCCTCTGGTGCAGGTAATTTGTTTTGGTCTTTTTTTTTTTTTTTTTAAAATGTTAGGTAATCTGTGAGTAGGCAACTCCAAAAACACAATTATCTGTTAAAAAATGCTGTGTTGTCAGTGGATTGAATATAGAAAGATGGGGATAATAACTTTATCTGATAGGAGTACAGAAAATATCTATAATTATTTTAAGTTGTTGCATATGTACCTTAGCACTTTCAACTGAAAGATCAGGTGCTTCCATTTTATAATGGTTTGGGTTCTCTCCAGTTTAATGCCAAGAACTCTCTGAATGTGGCAGCAAGAAACTTTTCCCCACTCAGTGTATCATTACTAGGATATCCCACCTCCTGACAGAACATTACATTTCTACAAGTCTTGCAAGAAACCGGTACCCAGGAGGAGAGGGAGAACTTGGGTAGTTCTCTTTCACAGGGAGAGTCTCCACTGTGCATGTGGAAAGTAGGTTTAGTGCTTTGATTTCAGGGTGAATTATTTGGATTTGGGCTTGAGACAAATCAAAAGCTGTTATGGTGAAGCAGGAACAACTGATGGATGCAGTACAAGGTTATTGTTGAAGACTGGTGGGTTTGAAGCCTTGTACCTTTTCTGCCTTAGTTCCCCTCTGTCAAAGTTTACATCTGTCTACAATTTATTTCACTTATGGAAATTTACATTTTCAATTACCATTTCAATTTGGAGAACATCTAGAGGAGTGATTCACCACTCTTGGTTAAGGAGCTAAAGGCTGAGAACACATTTGAGAGTTTTCCCACAAACTTTCCTCTAGGAGAGGCAAAACCCAAGTTTTTGGCTTGGAAACTCAGGGAACCAAGAAGAACAAAGCCTGCAGCCTCGTGTGCTCTTTTCCCTTCAGGCTGCAAGGGGGACATCTTTAAGCTGTGGAGTAAGTAAGGTCCATGGTACTTTTTTACTCCAGAGAGGTGATTTCCTCTGATAATTAATGCTCGTTTGTAACACTGTGAATCAGATCTCTCCACAATATCAATTAAAATTATGGGAAACCTCTGTCTTGCCAGTCTCTTGTGAGGTTCCTGTTTTCTGCTCTTTACCCCCTGGCAGCCCTCAGAAAAACCACAGTTCTTTCAATAAAGGTGAACTAGAAACCAGTGAGCCCATTACTGGAATTGTTTAGACTGAAATGGTTCCCTGGCATGCAAAACTGGGCAGATTTTGAAGTATCCTGGAGCATCTTCCATCCCCTGTGCCTGAAGTCATGATTACCTGGGAGCCCAAGTGCTGCCTTTTAAAATACAAAGTTCTGCACTGCAGTAGGAAGAGAGATGGGAAAGCAGGACTGTAAAGTCCCCAAAACACAAGGGCTGATGAAGAACTAAATTCATTCTTTCTGACTGTCAGCATAGTTTTGTTTTTAATTTTTGGAGTCTTACACATAGTTTTAGATGTTACACGTTGGCAGTTGATATACATGTCCTAAATGTCCAACTTATACCAAATCTTAGAAACAAAAGTGTATTAATGTAATTATGTAGTAGCAAAGCACTATTTCTAGATAGCCAGGTCAGCTACAAATACTGTGTAAGTAATACAGAGAATAGATGGTACTATATTGGATCTTTTTAGATTTCCTATTTTTTGTTTCCTGTCTTCAGGTGTGTTCCATAAACTCTATTTTCAGAAAAAAATCTGTTCTCATTAATCTTGGCTGAAATTTTCCTATTGAATTGCTGAATTTTGAGGATAAAGAAGTTATTGGTCAAGCTTCCCAGTGCACACATCTTGCCCAGCTGTAATTTTGGATGCCACAGTCTTTTGGGTATTTTTTAGCACAAGTCCAAAATGGATGGACTTTGAAACATAAACCTCTGTGTGTTTAAAGAGAGTTTGTTTTCAAGAAAGTCCATGGCCAAGTTTGTAAGAGGAAAATAAAAAAGAAGCTTTATCAGCAGTCAGGACCCTGTCAGTGACCCAGTGTCAGTGGAAGTGAGCTGTGATCCTGGGGAGACCCACATTTTCCCACCAGTCAGTGGCACTTTCTCTTCTGAAGGACCCCTAAGGACACATGGTTGCACAGGTAATTTGCAGGACATGTGCTATACAGCTCACAAGAGGTTTGCACCATCTCTCATGCAAGAAAACTTGAGAAAGGGATTGTGGTTTCTCTCTAAAATGTTATCTTCAAAAAGTAATAGAAGATTTTGTGCTGACAAGAGCCAATCCAGTACACCAGAAGAAGCAGTGTGCTGGTACAAGGTTCTTGCCTGGGCTGGTGGGTCAGACACTGCCTGCTCATGGCTGTCAGGGGCCTTGGTGCCTTGGCTCTTTGATGGTGGAACCTTTGTTGAGGCAGTAAAGTAGGAGGACTCTTAAAACAGTAATAGGTGATGGGTGATGACATCCCTGAGAAGGTGGTAGGATCTCCAGATACCTCGGCACTGGATGGCTGTGCTTACAAACAAAATACAACCATTTCTACTTGCTAGAGAACCAAAAGAAAAACAAATTTGAAAACCAAAAGAGTGGATGCCTCAGCTGTTTGACTGTTCTCCCACATGCATGTAAATCGTCAAGCTCCCCCTGAAGCTCTGTTTGTTTAATGACTAAAAAGAAAGCACTTCATGTCACTCCAAAGAGTAAATATCTGAAGTTACGGATTAACCAAGTTCCAGCAGAGCCCATGGCAGAAGAATAGATCACGCCGATTCACACTGAATAAAGCAGTAAGTGCTTCAAAAGTCTTGTATCCTTTGGGATTTCACAGTACAGCTTACCTGAACGAAGCTTAAAGCTTGCCAAGAGTGCCAGGTAACAAGAGGAGACTGTCTGGGCAGTCGTCTCAGGAGCTGCTGCTGGTTTAAAGGGAAGTAGAGAGCTGGTCTGGAGGGCCTGTGGTGAACAGGCATCAAAGAGAGGGTCAGGACACAGCACAGCACTTGGCCAGAGCTACTCCGAGAGGAGCAAGTGAAGGAGCTGGGCTGGCTGCACAGAGCTGCCTGCAGCACTGCCCTCTGCACCTGCTTCTCTTCTCCAGGTGATTCCCGTGGCATTATGTGGAAACTCCTCACCATAGGGGTGTTGCTGGCTGCCAGCTGCTCACCAGTCTGTAGTACCTCAAGTAAGTTCTCATTTCAGAGGGACCCTTCCCCCTCTTCAGGCACTGCAGGTGCATTTCCTGCTCGTCTCTCAGTCACAGAGAGTGGCTGGAATCATTCCCATGAGGGGGTTTGAATTGCTCTGGGGGTGACTGAGCTGTGATGGCTGCCTGGTCACAGCCCTCAGGAGCCCTGCACAGTGTCCCAGTGTCACACAGCAGAGGTCTGGGCTCACCTCTGCAGCACAGCACTGGCAGCCCTGCTTTCTAGGGCAGGCTTGCTCTCAGTGCTAGAGTGGGGCTGTTGACCTGCTAAGTGTCCTTTGGGAAGCACCACTACCAGTTTTCAGGCAGCTTTTTGTCCAGCTTGTGCTTTCACGTTTTTTCTTCCAGTATTTTACAGCAACAAAGATGCAAACCAGGTCCTCAAAATCCAGAAGCGGGCAAACTCTTTTCTGGAGGAGCTCAAGCCGGGCTCGATGGAGCGTGAGTGCTATGAGGAGCCATGTGACTTTGAGGAGGCCAGTGAGATATTTGAAACCAAGGAAGCCACAGTAAGTTGTTTTTTTAAGGATCAATGTGGGATTTCAACCAATCAATCGTTTTGCTGAAGTATTGCAATCCAGGGCATAAGAGATCTTGCCGTCAGCACTGAACATGCATCACTCCTGACTCCTGAGCTGCAGGCATCGTTTTGAATATAATTGTGTTACAGTGATTGTCAAGTTACCATCTGTATGGGCCACAAAATTTGGCTGCTTTTGCATGTCCCACCTGACCTAACCATGAGGTTTAGGTCCCAGCCATGTAATGTCAATCCTTCTTGACCCTGTTGGCTATTGTTGCTGTCACTGAGTTTTTCCCAGTCCTTCCAGTCCTTTGCCCTCTTTTGTCCTTTTGCCAGCCCCGCCTGCCTGCCATTGTGGCTCCCCAGCCTCCCACCTGTGCTGACAAGCATTTCTCTTACCAGCAGGTCCTCTCTCCTTCTCCAAATCTATTTTCAATTGGACACTACCTTCCTTGTCAACATCACTGATCCCTGCCCCTTTCCACACCCAGTCATTTTATTGGCTCGGACTTTTTCTTCCTGCATGAATCAGAGTAGGCTCACCACATGGGATGACCAAGTCCTTGTTGTCCCTCAGCCCCCAAGGTGGAGTGGAGTCTGTCTGCACAATGCCCACATTTTGTCTAACTGGTCACAAATTAATTGTGCACTTGGCAACACAGGTGACTTACGTGGTAGTACATGACAAGAAAAGAGAGCAGCTGGGGAGACTCTGAGGGGTTGTGGTGCTGGTGGGTCTGCGAGCAGGGCAGGGGGAGCTGTGCTGAGCATAAGCAATACACCAACATCTGGGTTGGCTAGTTTTGTTAGTTTGCAGTGGCAGTCACTGCCCCATCCAGGAGAATGAGACTGAGGCTGTTGACTAGGATGCTGTGCTCTGCAGGCCAAGACTATGATAAACTTTAAATCCCTCTCTTGTTAAAAATCTGCTTCTAGCCTTAATGTAAGTTTTGTTTTTCCACAGCTAGATTTTTGGAGCAAGTATGTAGGTAAGTAAAAGACTTTCCTAATGACTTTTCTGTGTGTCCTTGAGTCACTTGTACTCAGCTTTCCAGTTGCCATGTATTACCATGTATTGCCATGATTCAAATTCTCCTGTTTTTATTATCGTTTGGCCCCAACATGACAACAAAATAACAGGCCCATGACTGCTCACTCAACACACACACACACATTCCCCCCCCCATAACCCATAACCCATTCTGGGACGAGGAGGTCAAAGCTCATGGGTTGAGAAAAAAGGACAAGGAGGGTTCTTCACTGATTAAAGTCCTGGGCAAAACAGACTCAACTTGGGGAAAAAATAATAATTTAATTAATCAAAAACACAGGACACAGACAACACACAGAGCAGGGCTTGCATATGTTACCCCTCCCTTCTTCCCTGGCCCAAATCCCTGTGTTCCCAGTTTCTCTTCCTCCCCCCAATGGCACAGGGGATGGGGATGGGGTTTAGAGTCAGTTCACAGGCTGGTGGCTCCTGCTGCTCCTTCCTCCTCAGGAAGGATTCCTCACAGTCCTGCCCTGCTCCCCACGGGTCCCTCCCATGGCAGATCCTCCACCAACCTCTCCTCCAGGAGCCCTTCCCACCAGCCCGGAGCTGCTCCAGCGCAGTCGCACCATGCAAGACCACAGGCAGCAAATCCCTTGGCCATAAAATCCAAGTCCACTGGCCAAGTTCACCCCTCCTGGCACCCCCAGGGAATGTTCCCCACTTTCCTCCACACGTGCAGGGGCAGAGCTGCCATCTCGCCATGGGCTGCAGGGAAACTGCTTGGGCACCTTCCCCTTCTTCCTCACCAACCACCAGCACCCTCTTCTTCCCATGCTG